GTCATATCTCCTGCTGGTGAGCATGTGGTCTAGGCCTGGGTGTTGGGCAGGCTGGGCAGGGTAACTCCAACAGTTGGCTAATTATGTGGGTTGGTTTTGGAGGGGGGTGGATCAGGCAGGGCAGAGCAAACTTTAGTTTACTGGCAAGAGCATAAACCAGGCTGGTGCATTGGTCAAGCTGGCCTAAGCTGTCACACCTACCAGGGTGCATGAGCCAGGAATTGGAGCAGACTGAGTAGGGCCAGGTTCCAGCACCTGCCAGAGAGAGTTAGGACTGGGGGCTGGCTATGTCAGGCAAAGCTGCAGCATCCAAAGTCAAAGGCCAAACCAAGGAAGGGGTTGTGCCAAGTTGGATCAGAGCAACCATTGACATGTGCAATATAGCTGGGAACAGCCCTGGCTGGGGAGCCAAAGGGATGCCCTGGAAGGGTTGTGGTTCCCAACTGGTAAATGCAGGGACTGTAATGGGTACCGTATTCTAGTCTGGACATGGCTGCAATGTCCCTTGGCACAAGTGTGGACTGAGGCTGGGTGTGCCGGACTGGGCTAAACCTCAGTACTCACTGGTGCTCATGAGAACAAGGGTAGGTGTAGGACAGACTAAGCTAGGTTTTTGCCCCTGGTCTGCACATGGACCAGGTTAGGTTGGGCTGTAACACCCAACAATAATAACCCGAATGGGTTGAAGGCCAGTCAGGAAAGGCCATTGTCCCTGCTAGGATAGGAGGTAGACTGAGTAGGGCTGGCCCATGGACCCCACTGGTGCGCGTGAGATCTGGCATTGGGAGAGGTTCTGATGGAGGAACTTGGGAAACTCCTTTGTCAGGACACAGTCCCTGCAGGTGAACACAAGAATCACAATAGGGAGCAGCCCAGACCAGGCCAAGGAACAGTAGCCAGTGGCATATATTTGGCACATGTTGGGGGCGAACCAGGCAGAGCTAGTTGACATCACCCATTGGAGAATCTGAGCACCAGAACAGTGTGAGTTGGGCCAAGTTCGGTCACAACACATGCCAGTACATATGAGGGCTGGGACTAGGTGTCAGCTGTGCTAGGTTAGAATGCAGCCCCCACCAGCATGAGCTGAAATTGGGGGTAGGCTGGGCCGAGCCAGGCTACAGCACCCACTGGCAAGAGCCGAGGTGAGGCAGGCCATGCCAGACAGGGCTGCAGCTCCCAACCAGCACATGTGAGACCCGGGGGCGGGGTGGGCAAAGCCAGTAGTGGGGCTGCACGGGGCTCCACTGCTGGATCACAATGCCCACTGGAGAGCATGAGTTGGGATGGGGGCAGACCAGACAACAGAGCTACAACATCTGTGGGCCTCATGTGAGCTGCACCAGGGAAAAGCCATGCTAGGTTGACTGTTTTTACTGGTACAAGCACAAGTCAGAGAAGGTGTGGGTTGGTTGGACTCTGCTCTGAAGTATCAGCTGGCAGATGCTGGCACAGGGGTGCTAATTCTGTCAAGCCAAACTGCAGAACCGCTGGAGAGTGCATGATCCAGGAGTGGGAGTGGACCCAATAGAGAAACAGTGGAGACCTCCCTCTTGGGTTGCCACTCCCACTGGTGAGCATGAGAACCAGGACTGGGGCAGGCATGGCTACACAGAAAATGGCACCTGTCATCTCCTGTGTGAGGGTTGGATAGTGGGGCTGGTTGGGTTGTACGTATGAGAGCTCATGTAGGACAGACTGGACCAGTCTGCTGTACATACTGACAAGCACGGGAACCAGGACAGAAGGTGGGCCTGATGAGTGCTATTGTGGGTTGCTCTGCCTAGGCTGCAGCTCCCACTGGTTTGTGTGAGGGCCAAGTGTGTGGTGGGCAGAATCGGGTTGGGCTCCAGTACCTATTGGGTTTCATAAAACACAGGGCTGGAGACAGAACTGATCCAGCAATTGCAACTGCCAGTATGCGTAGGCTGATTGGGGCAGCAGTCTGTGCTGGACCCCGTACTGACAAGCACACACAAGAATCAGGTCTGGGATCATCTCAGATGAAGTTTCTTTGGGGATCACCCCAACTGAACTGCTGGACTCAAAACCCCAACCATGAAGAGAATTGCAGGTTCTATGGTCTGACTATGGAGTACATGCGTCAAACCTGAGCCTCCTCAGTGGCGTAGACAGAGCATTGGACAGCATATCCATAGGCGCACATGGAAGATGTGGCAGTACATCAGAGCCTGCATAGGATATCTGGTACCAGAACAAAGGACAGAACAAATTGATCAACTGCCCCAGCCAAGTATTGCAGTGAAAATCTAGGCAAGTGGAGACTCTAAGATGGACCATGTCAGCCAGTGAATTCTGAAGAGATTTCATCATGCTTGGAATGGCGAGATTAGCAGCAGTTCAGAACAGTTGAACTATTTAAATCACCTGAGCAGTGCCCTCAGAGCATGCTCCACATCAGGGACCCTGGGATGGTTGGTAGGCTGGGTGTGGCTTCTCCCTTAGCCTCTTCCCTTCCCAGATACAGGAAAGAAAAAAGAGAATGTGGAAACAATGGTCTTACCCACTTTCCTGTAGCCCTCGGCCCTCTGAGCCCTAATCAACGACGTAAAGATCACTAAAAATAAAACACACACACAAAAAGATACGAAGTTTCAGGCCTGATGCTGTAGCCTACTGGCTGAAGTCCTCACCTTGCAGACACCGGGATCCCAAATGGCGTTGGTTCTAATCGTGGACGCTCAGCTTGCAGCTCCTTGCTTGTGGCCTGGGAAGGCAGTCGAGAATGGCCCAAAGCCTTGGGTCCCTGCACCCACACTGGAGACCCGGAAGAGGCTCCTGGTTTTTGATTGGCTCAGCTCCAGCCGTTGCCGCCACTTGGGAAGTGAATCTTAGGATGAAAGATCTTTATCTCTTCTCTCCTCTCTTTCTATATATCCACTTTTCCAATGAAAATAAACAAATCTTGAAAAAAAAAATGATATGGAAGTTTCTACTACAAACCAAGCAGCATTCAGGGAGTGAAGATGTAAAGATAAATTGGGCAAGCAGTTCCTCTCCGTAAGCATCTCACAATCCAATCTAATTATGTAAAACAACAAAGCAACCAAAACAGTTTAATAAGGACACGCAGTCCAATCAATTCAAATCACCTGCAAGAAATCATATGAGGCAGAGATATGTACCACCTAACAGCCAGAATGCTAAAACTATAAATCAAGATAGCTTCTCCATAAACGAAGGTGCACACTCTCATTTGGATACAAAACAAACATTTTTTAAAAACCCAACTTTTCTTGCCAATCATTTTCAAAAGTCAGACATTGTTTTCAACTTTGGAAAGACTTTTTTTTTTGAAAGACTATCTTTGCTGCTATCAATGATCTGGTTAACATTTATCCTAAATTCAACAACCAGAGAGCTGGAGCCTTCTTTGTATTAAAATAATTTGTTCAATAATTTTGCATGCAGTAGGCTTTCAAAACTTGTCAGTTAATTTCTTTAAATTTTTTTTTGTTTACACAGAGGACACAATTCAAGCATTTCACAGACTCTAGTCTAAGAACATAATTGTATTTCCCTTCCTCCTTCTCTCCCAATTTTCTCAGTTTCTGTCCAAAGCATTTCTGCAGTTCTCTACCAGGTGACTTCCTGGTGGAATATCATTTCCCTTTTAAGTTCCCTGATTTTTAACCCTAATTCTATTTCTGAATCACATATAAATTACTTATTTTACATCCCTTTTTAAAATCACGCTTAAAGCATAAGACTATTATTTTATTTTAAACGACCGCAATTTTCACAGATTAGGATAATAGAATGTTAGCTTGTTCCAAAACAAGGCCTATTTTATAAAGAAGTCTTTCAAAACAGGCGACTCCAGAACATAGGTCTTTAAAAACATTCCATCCTTGGGTTAAACTGCCAAGTTTATCCTCAAATGACTACAACCCAACCAGAAATTAACGCCTGGCTCCAGATAAGGGACATAGTTTCTCAAAAAAAAAAAAAAAAAATCCACAAGATTTTTAAAAAGTAAAAGCAATAACATTGATTGCAAACAACCATTTAGTTTTCTTATGCATTCGCTTTGCTTGAAAATGAAAAAGCAAAATGTTTTTCCCATTTCTATTCATGAGTTCTTAAAACTATAAAATGTAACTTCAGAAAACATTGAGTTTGGAACAAAGTGGAAAACATGCTACTCAAGATTACTACATTAAAGTTAGTTGGGATTTCTAACGTAGTGGTAACCTGCTATAGGATCTCAGTGCTTTCTGAGCTTTTAAACTGATCAATATAAGCTGTGACTCCCAGATTCATTGCTAATCACACTGCAGACCAAAACCCAGCAGTGCTAGCACAATCAGAATGGACAAAAGGTCCTTATTTGGCCTACTTAAATGCCTTTTTTTTCTTTTGAAACAGTCCTTCGCGGCAAGCAGGTTTTATCTGTATTTTATGGGTGGGAAGACAGAAATCAAAACCTACTCCAAGGCCCCAGGGCTATGTAACAGGGGGATTCTGTTTTCTCGTCCAGCTGCCTCCTCACATCCATGTGGACTCTGTCATTCCCAGACTCCAAATTCCTCGGGTTCGCTGTGACCGAGTTGAACCAACACCAAATTCCTGTGTTCTCCAAGAATCCTGCGGTCCGGGGGCCACCCGCTCCCCAGCCCAAGAGGGCGGCGCACGGTGACGCGCGAAGCCAACCAGGCCAGACAACCAGTCCGGGGGCTGTTTACAAAGGCGGTCCTGGGGCCCGGGGACAGGGCACTATAAAGTCCAGCCGCCCAGCCCAGCCCCTCTCAGAAGACGACGGGGCCGCCACGGGGCTGCAGCGCGCAGCCCCTGCGCCGCCCTGGAAGGCCTTGGAAGGCCCTGGAAGGCCCTGGAAGGCCGTCCGGGCCGCGCGCCACGTGAGACGTGAGCCCGCCCCCCGAGCAGCGCGCGCACCACGGCGCTGGGCGTCGCGTGACTCGGCCCGGGCGCGCGGGGTGAGCGGCCTCCCGCGCCACTTCCGACGCAGCCCACGGTTCAGGTTCCGGGGCGCGTCGGAGCGCGGGCGCCTGGCCGGGAGCGCGCGCGGGCGCGCGCAGCGGCCGGGATGGAGGAGGCCGCGGCGGGGGTGGCCGCGAACGGGGATGCCGAACTGAACTGGTCCCGCCTCAGCGTGTCCCCGGAGACGCTGGAGTCGGAGCTGGAGGCGCGGGGCGAGGAGCGGCGGGGCGCGCGGGAGGCGCTGCTGCGACTGCTGCTGCCCCACAACCGTCTGGTGTCCCTGCCGCGGGCGCTGGGCAGCGGCTTCCCGCACCTCCAGCTGCTGGACGTGAGCGGCAACGCGCTGACCGCGCTCGGGCCGGAGCTGCTGGCGCTGCGCGGCCTGCGCACGCTGCTGGCCAGGAACAACCGCCTCGGAGGGCCCGGCGCGCTGCCCAAGGGCCTGGCCCAGTCCCCGCTCCGCCACAGCCTCCAGGTGCTCAACCTCAGCGGTAACTGCTTCCAGGAGGTGCCCCCCTCGCTGCTGGAGCTGCGCGCGCTGCAGACCCTCAGCCTGGGCGGCAACCAGCTGCAGAGCATCCCGGCGGAAATCGAGAACTTGCAGAGGTGCGCTGGGGGGGGGGGGGAGCCTGCGCGGGGTGGCGTGAGGGTGGTGGGAAAGCCAGGAGTGGTGCCCGAGAGCCCCTTGGCGCTGAGCCCGGGCGCCCGGTGTTTGTCCTGAACTCTTCTTCTAGGCTGTCTCTTTACCTGTCAGAGTCGTGAGTCTTGTCCTGCCGGCCCAGCAAATTGCAGTAAAGGTATCCTAAGATTGCATGTTCAACACTGCAAGTTGCTTTGGGTCTAAGTAGATATTCGAGGCAGTTTTTCTCTCTTCTTCCTTAGGGCTGGAGAAGGATCCGAATTGAGTGGGTGCTAAAGCTGCTGTCAGTCTTACTTTTCGAGGACAAAGGACATGCCCTTTACAACGACCTAGCTTTTCGTGACGTTTCCTGTTCTCTTTCCTTGGGGTGAAAACAGTGTATTATTTTTGGAGCCATTTCGTTCCCCATCGTACAGGGGAAGCTGCCCATAGGTGCCTGCACCAGTGGACACTCCAAGTGGGCACTAGGGCCTTCACCAGTGGGCACAGATAGTATTGGATAAATGCAGCAACACTGACATGTGCTGTTGCCTTTCCCTGACAAACTCCTGTTCATCCTTCAAAGCCCGTTTCAGGGGCCGCCTCTGTGATTCTTTGCTTTAACGCTCCCTAGACAGCTCCTAATAGTTATTCCCTAAAGTATACTTCTGTACCTCTTTTCATCCCACCGTCGTGTTTACCTTGTTCCACGTTATTCCTTAGTTACAGCAGTTACTCGCCTTAACCTGCTGGACTCTTTGGTGAACGTGTGTAGAGTTTAATTGAAAGAAGAAGCAGAGAGGCAGGAGAAAGTTCCCTAAAGGTGACCTGGGGAGGAGTGAGAAATAGGTTAAGCTTGTCATCTAGGTTGAAGAAAGAAGGGTCTTCTGACTAAAATGTTCCCCTATCCTTTATTGAATGGTCAGAGGTTAGCAGAATCTTGGTGCTGAGAGAGACCTCAGAGTCAAATGTAGTGAGAACGTTGGCCCGGAAAAAAGAATTCTGGGTGTTCTGGCTTTAGGTCAGTCTCTTAGCATACCCTGCCCTAGCTGCCTAATCTGCACCCTGAGGCATGTGGACAAGATGGCCTCTTGTTTACCTGGAGTTCCACACAGGTGTTTCAGGTACTATCCCAGGTGCTAGGGTGTAATGGCGCACATGATCTTGCCCCCATGGAGCTGTCTCATTTGCAGAGAAAGTGGACATAAAACAACTAACTATAAACCTTATATTTAACTGCAATGGCTCTAAGTTCTATGAAGATGTACTTGGAATGTCTTGAGACAAAATAATGGGGTTTTTTTGGTTTTTGTGTTTTTTTTTTTTTCATTTTTTTAAGGATTTATTTATTTTTATCGGGAAGGCAAATATACAGAGAGAAGGAGGTACGTTCCATCTTCTGGTTTTCTGCCCAAGTGGCACAACAACCGCAGCTGAGCCAACCAGGAGCCGGGAGCCTCTTTCAGGTCTCCCACTATGGGTGCAGGGTCCCAAGGCCTTGAACCATCCTTGACTGCTTTCCCAGGCCACAAGCAGGGAGGAGGATGGGAAGTGGAGCAGCCAGGACATGAACCAGTGCCGCCCATATGGGAACCTGCATGTTCAAGGCAAGGATTTAGCCACTAGGTGATTGCGCTGGGCCCCCAAAATAATGCTTTTTAAATTAAATTTTCAAAGGGAAAATGAAGATTAACTGGCAGTGGAAGATAAGAGGCAATCAACTCTGTTGGAATAACGGCATATGGGAAGGCTCAGAGGCAAGGAGAGTACCCAGAATTCTGAAGAATAGATATTGTACTGGGAAGTGAGAGAGAGGCAAAGGGGCCAGTCAGGCCATGCCAAGTCTTGAAGGAGGTGGTGGAATAAGTGTTCTTGGGAGAGTTCTAAGCACATGTGTGGTGTTGTTATGCAGGAACAAAATGGGGAGAGGTTGGTGAAATGAGTGGCTGTCTGGTAGCGTGAGAGATGATGGCTCATGCCAGGTGATACAGGAGATGGTAAGGCACAGAAGGGTTTGAGAAATGGAATTGGTACACCTTGATTCCTACTAAATTTAATATTCTATGTTTCCAACCTTCTCAGAATTTTCTCAGTATAACAAGAGATACCCAGGGCAAATGTTCATTCATGTATTTTAAAAGATAGGCAAGAATGGCATAGATGGAATACTTCCCATGCTGTATAGGTGCTGTGAATATACTTTGTAATTCTCACCGAGACCCATGAGATGACATACTCCACCCCTGCTTCCCTGCTCGGGTGGAGAGAAAGAATTTGAGGCTCAGAGAAATTACTACAGAAGATTGCAGAGGTCGTCAGTGGTGCGACTGGACTGGACCTCTGGAGTCTCCAACTCCAGAATCTGAGTTCTCCATTGTGGCACAGCCGGACTGGAACCTGTCTTTCGACTTCTGCTCTGCATGTGTGCTAAGGAGCATTGATCACAGTCCTCGAGGAGGCCTGCTTAACCTCACTTTCCGAGCTGATAGCTGTGCCTGTGTGCATTGATTGTTTTTGCCTTTGGTTCCAGGAATGTATGGGACCTTTTATATCAGTGTTTTCATTTTTCAAATGTATGCTGCTTTTCTCTTTACTGATAGGAATCACTAAGAGTTTAGGGCATAAAGGGTTGTGTAGAAATGTCCACCTCAAGACAAATATCCTTGGCGATAATGATTCAAGCTCCTCTCACCACCCCCTTTTTTAAGGGTGACGAAACAAAGATTTATTATTGGTGACTTGCTTGAGGCCAGATAGCCACAGAGTGAGCTAGTTCAGCCCTCAAAAGCTGCTCACTATATTTACTGCTGAAGCCATGCATTAAGTCTTCAAAATGTAGAAATGGGTCTTTAACTCCTTCGGCCGTGGGGTGCCTGTCCAAGCACGCCATCTCCATCTTGGAAGTCATGTGCTTTCTGTTAGCCTCATTGGTGGGAGTCCTGATGTGTGAGGTGCAGTGTACCGTGCTGTAGCTGGAGCCAGTCAGCTGTTCTGGCATGTTAACAAGATACCTGCCTTCTCTAAGGGCAGATTGAGGAATAGATAATTCAGGAATACTTCGTTTTTACTCCCATGCTTCATTATTCCAGCGAGGATTAATGGTGTCATTGATACCTTCGGCTTTAGCAGTATGTCTCTAATTTCTTTTGCTTTTGATATCTTGTTCATACTTCCCCGTAGTGGGAAAAGCTTAAAGTTTCTGAACAATTTCTTTTGAAGTACATCAAGTATGTAGATACTGAAAATCGTATGATTAACTGAATCATCTGAAGCAAATTAGGATTTCAACATGAACTGTAACATTCTAAGTATGAATTCTTTCCATCAGAATGTGAGATTATCCTTCAGCAAATACTGTTTTTGTTAGAGGGAAAAATCTTCAGTGTTTTATGATACTGAGAAATAGATATAGTTTGTGTCGACCATTTTTTTTAACTCTTTAGTGTTCATTGTTAGCTCAGACATCGATGGAGGAGGAGCTCAATAACTTATCATCCTCTGAGTGAATAGACTTTATTATTTCTATCCGGACTTATTTGAGAGGTGAGAGAGCTCACATTTGCTGACTCACTCCCTTGCAACATCTGGGGCTGGCCTGGGATTGGACCAGGAGCCAGGAATTCAGTCCAAGTGTCCTAGTGGCAGGGACCCAGCCACTTGGCATCATCTCTGTCTTTCAGGGTTTACACCGGAGAGCTGGCGTAAGGAGCACGATGAGGGAATAAAACCCCAGCATTTCTATGTAAGAGAGCTGTTTTAACCTCTGGGCTAAATGCCCGCTCCAGTAATAACAATTTCCATAAAAGAAAGTAAAGCTAGTCCGTTCACACCAAACAGCTTTCACACCAAACAGCTTTCCATAAATTCAGTGAATGCTTTTTCTGTACTTGTTAAACACTGAAGGAACAGAACTGCTCCAACCCTAATTAACAGAAACGCAAAATTGACAACAATGGTTTAATTCTTCCCTGTAGAAAAGTGGGTTTGGAAATAGTAGGATGCACTTTAGAAATTTCATTCTTGCAAATCATTGGAAGGTTTTAAGGCCCAAGAAATTTCTACATTACTTTTGAGTTTGAAGTAAGTCTGGAAGTGTACATTTAATAAGCTAGTTGTATAGCTGCTGATGGCTATCAATTGCTTAAGAAATCTTGCATAATTTCAAATCCTGAACTTGGTTTTATATTTTAAAAGTTTGGATCTTTCTGTGCCAAAGTCATTGCTACTTTTTGAAATCCTTTCTGTGTGTTTTTCCTGCCCATCCGTGTGGAAAGAAGACATTGAGTAGTAGCTAATCACCAGAGAGTAGTTGTTGGTTCTTGATCATGTTAGTAAGTTCAGGCTGCTGTACCAAAATAACCATAGTCTGGGTGATGTATAAACAACAGAAATATATTTTAGTGCTAGAGGCTGGGCATGCAAGACAGAAGTACTGGAAGACCTCATGTGTAATGAAGCCTTGTTTCTCACTGTGTCCTCATGTGATAGAGAGGAAGCAAGCTCACCCAGAATCCTTAAAACAAACCCCATCCTGGAAGGCTCCGCCCTTGTAGTTTAATCCCAGTCACCTCTCCAAGAACCCACCTTGTAATACTAATAAAGGAGCAAAGTTTCCATGTGAATTTTGTGATGAAATAGAAGTTGATTCTCTGACCCTGACCTTTAAAATAGTACCTCCCTCTTTTTCCACTTTGTCAGTGCTCTCAGGGACATATATAACAGGTTGAATCCTTTATTGAAAGGACTTCGCTTATTAAGCTTTTTTCCCCAGTTAGTATTTTTTTTAAAGATTTATTTTTTATTTGGATCTGGTGTGATGACTCTGTTGTCTAATCCTTAACCTTGGCAGCACTGGCCTCCTATATGGGTGCCAGTTCCTGTCCTGTCTGTTCCTCTTCCCTCCTGGCTCCCTACTTGAGGCCTGGAAAAGCAGTGGAGGATGGCTCAAAGCTTTGAGACCCAGCACCTGCAATGGGAGACATGGAAG